CATCCAATATCACATCTAACTGAAACACCATCAGTCCAGAGGCACAGCGAGAGCTGAAATGTTTCTGAACTCCTCTCCTGCTGAGAACAGAAAAGGTTTGATGAAGGTCTTCCCAAATTCCAAAAGGCAAGACAGTCTGCTTGAAAAGAAGCATTTGCTTGAGATATTTGTTTTGTTTTGAGTTTGTTGGTTTTTTGGATTTTCTTTTTCTGCAGCAGACTAGGAAGAGACAAGTTTTTCCAGAAGGAAAGTTTTGTCAACAGAAACAATATGTTTTATTAAGCCAAATGTTATAGCTAGAAAAAAAAGCCAAGCACAGTTCAGGAGTGCAAAGAACTGAAGAAAGTTTATGTACCTTAAAGCTTGCCATCTGCTCTAATACAAGATATTTCATCTCCCTATAATCCTTCTCTTGTTTATAACCTTGGAGCATCATAATCATGCAAAAATTTATATTTATTTGATATGAAAAATCTATGTGTAATAGAATAGCCAGTAGGCCTCTGGGAAATAAGCTGAATTGATTTATAGAGAAAAAGGTAATGCTTTTTTTATTATTATTTACAGAACTAACTTGGGCCCAGGATCTAGCTATTTACTTGGTTGGTTGATATTTTGCAGTGAAATGCTTGCTCTTTCTATGATATTAGAGTCAAATCTACTCAAGGTTGGAGTTATCACCCACTAAAACCCTGCCACAAAAGTTGCATTCTTGCAAATAGACAATTTTCTAAAATCAACTTTTTTCTGACCGAAAGGAATCTCTCTCAAAAAAATTTAATCCAACACTTTGTCTGTCTGTGGAGGCAGACAAAAATTATTAATAATACAAAAAATAAGAGAAAGCTGGAGAAAAAATAATGCTAGAAACAAAACTTTGTAATGTACATAATAGTTTCTGTCAGCTTGGACTAGGGAGTGGGAAGAAAGATTTAATAAAAAGTAGAAAAACAGTTCTCATTAGTGAATAGGCAATTTCCAGAATGAAGGGCTCTTGAAAATAGCTGTGAAGGGTTGATCCTGGCTGGACACCATGTGCCCACCAACAATAGTCTGTCCCTCCTCAGCACAGTGGGGGAAAAAATATAACCAAATTCTCGAGGATGGAGATAAGGACAGGGAGAGGGACAATTGCTCACCAATTACCATCGTGGGCAAAACAGACTCGACCTTAACTCAATTTATTGCCAATAAAATCAGAGTAAGGTAACGAAAAATAACAAGCAAATCTTAAAAAGTCTTTCCCAAAACCTCCTCCCATGCAGCAGCACAGGAGCACAGGGAGTGGGGGCTGTGGTCAGGCCATCACACATTGTCTCTGCCGCTCCTCCCTCCTCAGGAGAGGATTCCTCCCACTCTTCCCCTGCTCCAGCCTCAGTTCTCTCCCACAGGAGACAGTCCTCCACAAACTGCTCCTATGTGAGTCTCACAAGCTTCCCAAGGGGTCACAGCCTCCTTTAAGTTGCCACTTGCTCCAGGGGCTGCAGGTGGATGGATCCCTGCTCCACCCTGCACCTCCATGGGCTGCCAGGGAATTTCAGCTCTGGTGCCTGGAGCACCTCCTGGCCCTTCTTCTGCACTGACCTTGGGGTCTGCAGGGCTGCTCCTGTGATATAGTCTCATTCTTCTCCTCTGGCTGCTGTTGCCCAGAAGTTTTTCCCCCTTCTTACATCTGGTACCTCAGAGGTGCTTCCACCATTGGCGCTGGGCTCAGCCTTGGCCTCTGGTGGCTCTGTCCTGGATCTGGCTGGCATCAGACAAGAGGGAAGCTTCCAGCAGCTCCTCACAGAAGACACTACCAAAACCCAATATAATACCTGGCTTGAATTAAAAGGGGAAAAGGGGGATTTAAATCAGATCATGACTATAGAGTTCTCTCATAAAGGATGTAATGGCATAAGGGTGTTTTAAAATGATGAGAAGCATAAGAGAATATTGGTGTTATTTTTAAAATAGAGGAAAAAAACACACCAAACAGAAAAAGTGGGGTTTAGCCCTTCAACAGACATCTTAAAAAGACTCCAATTTAACTCTTAGAATCCCCTTTTCTCCATGGCTCCAAAGTACAATTTCACTTTTTTTTCAAGAATCAAGAATATAAAAACTGCACTGTCAGACATTGTTTAGATACCTGTAAGGACTCTTCCCATCTGCTGCCAAGTTTTCCCTGATGAGTCGCCTTCATAAATCAGCCTCATTTTTCATTTAACTTTTCACCTGTCTGATGGTGACAATAAGCTGCATCTGTTTTTACAGCTGCTGCCAGGTGCCACAGAGGTACAACTCTGCCTCTGACTGGGTAGGGAGTCCTTTAGGGGTCAGCTGATGGGACTAAGCTTTCAGATCCAGGCAATCTGCCTTGAAATTCCTGTCATTAAAATAAGAATAAGGTAAAAAAGTAGGGGATGGGAGGCTGCAGAAGTAGAAGGGATGTGACCATGACACAAAATTTCCTGACAATGATAAAGGGAGGGATTAGAAGTGTCAGCCTCAGGTAAGGGGAAAGGAGGTGCTCAGGCACCCCAAAGGCTGCAGTCCTAGCATGCAGCCATGCTGAAAACATGACTTTTGCCAGGTATCACTTCTTTTCTTTACCTTTGAGTACTGAGATGTTTTAAGCAGCATGATTCCCTATGGTCAGAGGGATAAAAAAAATTAACTTCTTACCTTTGACTTTGAACTAGGACAATTTTCCTGAATTATCAAAGTCACTATGAAGCTTCCCCATTTATTCTGTCTCTCTCTGTAACTAACTCTAGACCCTAAGTCTCTAGGGTGAGGTTCACACAGATAAAATTCTTTTATGTAATTTCATTTAGCAATAAGAAAAGCCTGGTTTTATCCCAATATTTGCCCTTGGCAGACATCAAGCCCAGTACACTTAGCCTTGATTCCAGGGCCAATTTCAGGAAGTGAAGCTGGAGCTGGCTGTTTCCACATGCCCCATGCCGCTGCTGTGTAGAGTGCAAGGTGGCAGCTATGCAGAAATGTGTGGGTCAGGTAGTGTCACTTGTCCATGTCTTGTCTGTCCACTTGACCCCTTTTTCCCTTGCAGTGACAATTTCCTCTCCAGCAGGTCAGTCGTGGGGAGTTTTGAATGCCAGCAGGAGCTCTGTGGAATACTGCACATTTTGATACATCCATGCAGTGCACAGAGCCTCTTCCCATCCGAGGTGAGACTGATTCCCTTATACATTTCACAAGAAATTCTCCTAATTACTGAAATTCTTTTGGTCTGCTTTTTTTACTGGTTTTTTTTGGGTTTTTGTTTTTCAAGTCAGTTATCTGTATTTTGGTTATTGATTGGAAAACATGGCAGAAGTTTTTTAGTGGGTACATAGTTGCCCTCTCCCCCCCTGCTTTTATTGCTGCCTGAAATGTAAATGGCAAGAAACACGAGCCTGTCATATGGAACAAGACATCCCAGCCTATGTCTGCTCTTCACTCCTTATTATCTGGCATCCCACAGGCTGGAAGTCTTTCTTTATTCCAGTCTATTGTAGAAGATGCATCTTCATTATTATTTTGACTTTTTATCTGCACTTTCCCCTAAAATCTCAAACTGACAAGTTCTTTCTGAATATAAAAATATTGCATATGCATATGCTTATTTTAACACAAAGATTTCTTTAACTATTTCGTTTCTCTTTTCCTGTTTTTTATTTCATAGGATTCATCCTACCTCACATTAGCTGGCAAGATACTTCTGTAAATTGTCTTTGCAGGTAAGAGAAGGAGATGACAGTTTTTTCCATGCAAGCACAGACTCCTGTGCAGCCCTCACTTATTCTGTATGGATTACAGGGAGAGCTGAGACAGCCAGCTCAGTCTACGTCTGAATCTCAGACTGCTAATGTTAAATGCATATCACTCTCTTCCTAGCAAAACTAATCTCAAAAACTGAAAAATCAACACTTTACTATTTTTTATGCTAAATTTTATCTTCTCCACTGGTTTTTGGTGGGTTTTTTTTGTGGGTTTTTTTTTTTCTTTAGTGCAAGTCTAGGAATGCATATGGATAAGGATTCAATTTGGATGAGTTCTTTGCCTAAGCAGGAGCTTAGGTACTGTTCCAACAGAGCCACGAGTGCTTGTATAGCTGCAATAGGCTGAATATTGTCTCTTTAGCTGATGCTGATAGGGATCAAGAGCACCACAGTCTGATTGATTGTTTTTAAAACCAGGCTGCAACCAAAATAGTAAAGCAGAATAGTCTTCACTCAGTGTTCCTATTGACAACACCTAATTCTAACCATCTTCAAAATAATCATCAAGGTTGAAACAGCAGTTTAAGTTCCTTCTACACTTGACAGAGGGATACAGGTATCTCCATAGAACATCTTTCCAGCACTAGTCTTAGGAAGAGATTACATGGCCCTCATACACATTTGCTTTTCCACCTTAACTTCAGAAGGAGGCATGACAGCTTCTTCAGACAAACTATCCAATTTTTAAGTAGCTAAAGTTAGATAATACAAATTTTAGTTTATTTAACTAGCAGGCATATTCCATCAGTTATGCTTTCATTAAAAAGTATTTACTTAATTCCCTTAGTGCAGCATCTCATAATCCATGTAGCTATTTTGGACAGACATTTGAGCAGCAACAAAAGGAGAGTTCAGGCATCAAACATGACTGAATGGATTCTGTGGCAAATAAACTCATAAAATGCCTTTCTACAATAAGCAACCTGAGACAGTGACACAGTCCTAGGGCGTTCAGCATCACAGCAATGTCTCACTTATATTCAGTGAGTAAAATTGGGGTATTTTCATATCAATACATTCAGCTTTAAAGTGAGAATACATAAAAGAGCTGATGGTTGAAGCATGTTGCTCAACAATAATTTACCTCACACACAATTATTGCAGTGTGGAATACTGCACAAAAATACCTAAGTTGCTGCAGTTTCAAGAGACTGGGGAGAAGTCTGCTCTTTTTGGAGAAATTGCGACATCTGCTGGTTTTTAACAACAAACCCAGAAATGCTTCATCATTACCGGTTTCAGAAGAGGCTCACTGAGTGAGGGCACGGATGTGACTTTGGAGACACAAACGGTGGTGACAGCGCTGCAAGGCATCAAGGCAGGAGTTGAGGTTCTGAAAACAGAGTAAAATCATCAAGGGTTAAAAAAATTTGAAGATCGGCTTCACAAAAATGTTTCACAAAACATCACAGATCACTGGAATCTGACAGAATTACTCTCAAGACTTCGGAAGTCAATATTCAGAAAGAAAGTTTAAGTTCAATTTTCTGTCTTTCCTGTTGCTCTCCTACATTTGCACACATAAATATAATTTAACACTGCATTCGAAATATAAACTCTTCAGTTCTGCAGTGAGAAGAAAAACCTTGCAGGGAGAAGTAATATAAACCAACCCATTGTTAACAACTTTTGCTAGTAGATATTTACCAATTAGAAAAAACAATATCACAATGCACTAGGAGTGCTGGCCTGTTCTCAGATGCCTGTTTTTAAATAAATGGTAAAAACCAGAACAATTGTGAATGCCATCTTTAAAGATATGTTACTTTTCACAAGGAAAGGACTATGAGTTTGACAGGCTCTGAATTGTTCTGCAGAACTGTATTCACAGCTAACACTTGCACATCTCCCAGCAACTGCTGCTTTATTTCAAACGTGTGTGGAGTGATCTATTCATAAACTGTGTGCACAACCATAATCATACACCACTTTTGAACATTTACAATGAGAGATGGCTCATAAAGACAAAAGGAAGTTGTATTTTTAAGTATGGAAATTAACATTGGAAATAAAAGTTTACCCTTCCCCTTGAAGACCAAAAGTCTGGACCCATTCTTCTAAGCTTAGAATTAAACTTAAATAGCGTTCAGTGCTTTGTAAGTTGACCTCCAATTTGCTTTGTTATTGAAGTATAATATATCCAACATGGCAAAGAGGAGTCAGGTACAGTCGTGGTTGGAAGAAAATAGATTATTTTCTTATCCATTCAGGGTATAATGAGCAAAAGAAGTACATTTGTCACTCTAGGCAATGTGCCTAGAGCTGGGGTCCTTAAGGAACAGAGGGCTTTTGCAAAATCTGCTACTGTTTAACAGACCTCAGCAGCACTGATTTCTAAACCAGGAAATTAACAGAAGGCTGCAAAGAATGAAATGTCTCCAATTGTATGCTTCAAGCACACCAATAAATTTGTCAGCATATTCTTGACATAGACAAGATAAAACATAAAGTTGACAGTGACAGAGTGCCGCCACCTGAGACACTGAAACAGGGAGTTTTTCTGCCTTCTTGTCAGCAGTTTGTTTTAAAAAAATCCCTACAACAGGATGAGAAAATGAGAAAGACTAGAGAAAAAAAACTTTTCAAAATGTCAGTACCCAGAATTATGCCCAGATGCTCAATAGAAAACCAGTCACTGAAAATGTGGAATTGGCATCATTGTATTTTGATGCACAGCAGAGAAACACTTCCAAGGCAGAACTGGAAAAGGACCAGCATCTGCTACCTGCTAATTAACACTTTAAATACAGCATTGCAGGTGGCTGAAACAGAACAATGCAAACCTGGAGCGTACAGCATGCTGAGCCCCGCTCCGCTGGGAGGGAACTTGCTCCCTCCCTCCTCGCTGCAGAATCCATTCCAGAGCTGCCTGCAGTCTTTTGCATTTGTCTGCTTCTTCACTGCCTTGACAGCCAGTATTATAGTTATTTAGATGTTGTGTAACTGTATTACTTAATGTTTGCACAGTGCTTTGAATATGTGAATTGCTATCCAGCTATTCAGTGTTATTATTTCCATTAGGATGAACCATAAAAGCATACTGAAAAAGACAGTGCTTAAGTTGAATAACCTCCTTTAAAAAGGAATAGCAAATCCATCAGGTCTTGTCAAGATGTTCCACTACCTAAATATTTGAAAATTGTACCTGCATTTGCATTACACATACACATACTTGGACATGCATATGATTTTATTTCAAAGATCAGTATACTGGCTTAACTAGTACTTTCGTTTATTACTCTCAAAGAGAACGTATAAAACCCTACACCGTGAATATAATAAAGATTTGGTTAAGTTAAAATTTAATAACATGTCTTAATGATAGTATTAAGAAAACTAACCTTGGAAATGAAATTAATGACATTCTTTGATGTTGCTCTGTCTCAACTTTGCACCTTGTACAGGTCAGATTAATTTTATCGATTCAGGGAAATAAGGCAGAAAGGTTGTACAAATGTAATTACACTACTAACATTTTAAAGACAAAACTTTTAATGTGTATACTGTAACCAAAGTAAAATTACTTTTCTAATTCCAGGATAACTGTTAAAAAGAGTCTTGCCTCTCAGTTTAAAACTAAGCACATGATGAATTGCATCAGTAGGACTACAATAGTATAGACTAATACTTTATGGCAGCTTGACTTGCTATATCAAGAATTCTGTGGGTTTGAAAAGCTGCATAGTCAATCAATTAAAAAAAATACCACAAACAACTGTTTTCTGGCCATATGGGCATAGATAATTCCAGTCCTCCCAGAGATTTATCTCAGAAATAAACACTAGCTAGAATAAAGTTTCCTAATTCCTAATTTCCTAATTGTAATTTTAATTAGGAAAGAATTAGGGTAGAATAATTGAAAAGACATTACAAAGAAGACTGGTAGTAGTTCTGGTGGATATAGAAGCACCTATGTTTGCACAGAGAGTTTTTTATGATGAATGGGAAAAAAGAACAAACCTATTTGTTAGAAGCCAGTCCATTTCTCCCAGCTGTAGCTTTTAATTTAATGAGTTATCCTTCTCTTTACAATGCATGCCTCATTTAAAAAGATTGATAGATTAATATTACTGAAGGGATAGCTTCAAAGAACATGTCACATCTGATGACAAGGTATGTTTTCTTTAAAGATGAAATCAAACATTTGCTTTTTAACACATAATCTGAGGGTCTCAGTTCATATTTGTTGGTTCAGAGGAAGTCTGGAAGTACCCATGGGTTGAGAATTCTTACAAACTGTCAGGCAAGCTAGAGATTGCAAAAAAAATGTTGGGTTTCATTAGTATATAGTCCAAATTTTTTGGACTATAGGCTTAAAGATTAATCAATGTTTGATAAAAAGGATTAATCTGAGACTCATGTTGCTGTCTCCATCCTGCTGAACCAGTCCCTAGAGTCTCTGTTATGGCTGATAAAGGAAAATGGGCACTCTTAGAGATAATTTATCCCAATGTAGATTGCAAAATGAAATAGACAGACCTCCATATGGAGAGACTGGAATGAATAGTAAAATTATGAAAAAAATAGATTACACATTGGCTCCAATACTGTTATCAGTAATTAATTGTCATGGTTGGGTGTCTAGAAGAGAAAACAAAATGTCTTGAACATTTCTGTGTTGCCTTCCTCTCGCCGCCTCAGTTAATAGAGAGAACAGTCTTAGAACAGGAAAGGGAAGGACCTTAAATCCCTGCATGAGGCTGTCTTGATGGCTGCAGATTTATTCAGGAAATAGAAGCTGCATCCCATCCCTGGTTCTCCCAGCTGCCCTTGCTTAGCTACTTGGCATTTCCCTAGGCCAAGAACCCTTAGGAAACTGCCCTGGCTAAGGGAAGACATCCAGGAGAACAGAATGGCTTCTCTTGTTCCATCATTTTGAAAGAAAATAGGGGGAAAATTCCCCTAAATGTCAAAGCAAAAATAGTTTATAAAAACTCAAACCCAAACACACAAAAAAGAGCTCTGTAGTGATCAGAATCTTCAGATTTGCTCCTCCAGCCTTGACTCTGAAGCTTCCCTTCATGAGACCAATGAGGTGGTTGATACATAAACACCATTGCTGCCTCTGTCCTAGCATCCTTTCAGCCTCCATTCGGAACTTCTCTGCAGATTCTCCTTCTGTTATCTCTGTTTGTTAGATTTGTTCATTAAACACATCCAGAAGGAAAGGCAGAGTGAATCAAGCCTGTGCCATTATGAGGCTGTTTCCAGTCACACTCTTCACTCAGTTTGTTAGCTCTGCTTTCTGGACCTCCCCATGTGTTTCTTCCCTAATCACTCTGTTGGCCTCTGGGTGTGGACTGGCTCTCACAAGTGATACCCATATTGTTGGACAAATGGGTATAATGGGGAAAACTCAAACCCTGGACCTGTAAACATCCACATCACCTCCTATTTATTCCTGATTCTTATCTTCCTTTCAGTAGCAGTGTAGATGCAAGCACAGTGTCCATGAAATCCTTGGTATGACAGTATAGATTGCTTCATAAGCTCTGCCTGAGCAAATATTCAATGATGCTTCTCCATGCAGGGAGCTCTGAAGAGCTCATCCTTTCTTGCAGAGCCTCACACTTTCTGCCAGAGGACCTCTGCACAACACAAAGCACATTGTGGTTCCTCCCGTGGATGAAGGTCACGTCTCAATTGCTTAAGGAAGAGCTTATATGTTCTTCCAGATGCTTTTCATACACAATTTAAATATGGGCTGAGGTAACCTCTGTCTTTTTTTTAGACTAAATAATCTGAAACAGCAATAAGCTGTTGAAATTCAAGTCATATCTTCTATCAAAGATATGACTTCACTGTGCTCAGAAACACTGTCTGGGGACAGCCAAAAAGGACAAGTATTCTGCTGCTCTACTGGCACCTCCAGGAAGACTAATGAATCCATCATGGGAAGGTCAGAAAAGGCAGCACCACATCACTTCCAAGTCACTGCCACAGGAACACAGGAATTATTTTAATCTCAAAATTTCTCCTTCAATTGAGCGAGCAGCTGCCTCTGGCAGCCATGCAAGAGAGGTTTGGGCTGAAATAATTTAGCAATGTGGAAGGATGGAGCAAAGCAAGTGGAGAGAGAGATGGAGGGGGAAGCTGTAGTATAAAGTATATAAAGTTACACAGTTTATTTCCTCCACACCCACAATGGGAGGAAGTTAGAAGGAACACCTTTGTTTCAGACAGAGTTCCTCTGAGAACAGATAATCAGAGAAAGCTGTCATTTATCAAGTCACTCTGGCTGTCACTGTGCTGCTATTAACTCTGACTCAGTTCCAGCATTTCTGCATCAAATGATATTAACACCACCCCTGTGGAAATTATTGTTTCTCTGCTATATCAAAAAATTATCAAATACATGTTATTCCTTTTTTCTAAATAGTTTCTGCTATTTGGTTTAGAAGCAAGCAGGAAATAAAGGAAGCATGAGGAACACAGTTCTGAGGGCACTGAACTGCAAACACAAATGCTTGCTGTAGAGAGGTGCTTATGTAGGGTGTGCAGGTATGAAGAAAAAGTGACATTTATGAAAAAGCACTGATGGTCAGCTTGAAGATGCCCATTGCAGAGGGGTTGGACTGGATGATCTTTAAAGGTTCCTTCCAACCCAAGGCATGCAAGTATTCTGTGATCAGTCAGGTGGTCCTGAGGTAACCCTGAGGTGCACATTTTGCAATGCCCATTTTACTTTTAAGGCAAAATGAAGAAATGGTGTTCAATTACCCCTTTCTACAAACTGTCGCTAAGGAGAGTTGTACATCTCCTTTTAGAGTAGGGAAATATTCTCAATAGCAACATAATCTCCAACATTTTGGGGCTCAGTAAAGTGAAATGCATTTTTCACTAGGTAACAGTAGGATTGGAATAAATATACCCGTTTCTTCTCATCATGCCTGTGTGAGTTGAAGCATTAAACAGATTCCACTCAGATTCCTGGAATGTATATTAAAACTGTTTAGATTTCATCAGTAACTAATATAAATTATAAGTCAATGATTGGCATAGAGAGCTTTAAAATTTTACTTCATAAAACAGTTATTGCAGCAATTAGCCTACAAACAAATTTTGTAGTGAAGAATCAGGCAGGTATTCTTCCAACTATGGAAAAGGTTAAGGTCCAAAGAACATGATGAAGGGCTTTCTGGTGAGGCAGAGTCAAAGTTCAGCTTGTTGAATGACACCTGTGCAAGCTGTTTTTACACTAGCTCTGCAGAGGAAAGTCGTAGACAAGTGCAATGCCAAAATTTGGAAAGTATGCATCAGCCAGTCTCCTACCTTTGTAGTTTGCTGCTCCAAACATCTCACCAAGGTTGCTGTTCTTCACTTATTTTCTGTTCTTATTGCTGCACCCTAGGACCTCTACTTCAACCTGTCTCTAAACTACAAGAACCAGAGATTTTCAAATTCCAAGGTGCATCAGGAAGCTGCAATTGTGCAGTGATGCCTAGGACTTCTGCCAGTGCAAAAGAAATTGTATTCTCTTTGAGCAGCTGCTGAAGGAGAAATACAGCCCTTTATCACACAGAAATGCACTAACTCTCTCCTGGCTGCCCACTGCTTTACACTGTGTGAAGCATCATTAGTCTTGTCTTCTCAAAACACTCAGAAAGCAGCAAAAGTGAATTCCACAGTACCCAAAGGAATTTTACAGACAAACATTTGACCTGTTATTAGAGTAGATGGCATGGAACTTCACATCCCACCAGACACATGGTTGTCAGTAGGTCTTAGCAGGGGAGCAGCCGCAGTCTCCTTTGCACACCAGGTCCTCTCTGCGAGCCCAGAGTGCTCCTTTGCCTCTGAAAGAAATCATTTCACTTCTGTCAGATAGTTAGGATGATAAAATAATTAGGAATATTGTGGGTGTTTTACCACATATTTGGTTTGTGTGAGGTATTTCCGTATAGAGGGAAAAAACATGGCTTAATATAGAATTTGTAAAGGAAGGTTATATAACCTTCCCACGAATCTAACAGTTCATTTTATCTATTTTCAGGCTTAAGAGAAATACTTTGTTCCTTATCATTCATGTCTCTCTATAAATTTGTCAGTGGGAATGTGACAGTGTCACTCACTCAAAGGCAGCACTATCCCAAGGAATATTTTGCAAATGTTACATCACAGGAAAAATAAGTACCTGACAAACCCCATCCTTAGAGAGGTCACTTGCTGTGTAGAAGCAGAGAGCGCTTCCAATGCAATCAGTTGTCTAAGGATTTTTCCAGAAATAAGTCTCACAAAGCCCTGACAATGTTTGGTGCTGTACAGCTGAGGCCTAAGGTATGGTCTGGGTCTAAAAATATTAAAGAATTTTGAGATAAAACTTGTGTTCAATACTTAATGCTTCGTAGTTCTGGAAAATCTTGAGCTCTATGGTATATTTTCCTATTTCATTTTGAACGTATTTAATTTATTTAAATAAAAATGCTTCTACTTAGTAAATGTGTGTAGGTATATACTGATATATATGCATATATATATATATATAAGTATATATATATAGGGTGTGTTGGTACTGACTACTTACTTGCTGAGAATCCTTCCTCAGCACGTTATGATTTTAGCAAAGCCTGTGAAAGAAAGACAAAAAGATAGAGTGACAAAAACTCATGTCAAAGAATTTTCTTTTGTAGGATGAAAGGATGGGGAATAGATTATTATGAAGACTGGAAACAGAATTTAAAATAAAATAGAAAGAAAGGGATGGGAAATTAGAATTTTTGGGCTAAATATGCTGTCGCCTTTTCCTGAAAGGCTACCAGAAAAGTTCACAAGATGGATGGTTTATATTTCAGACAGTAATACTTTTTACAGTTTCTCCAAAACACATCTCTACCCCAAAGAGTACCTTTTCTCCCTCTGTTATCCTAATATGAAACAAAATTGATTCTGACTGCAAGACTAGAAGATGACTGTAGTGAAAAACTCCAGTGAAAGTAAAACAGCAACCTTTAAGTGCCTCAACATATTAGTAAACTCAACACTTTCATTTTCTTACAGATTTGAATTGGTCTCTTTACTATTACTTGTGTTAAAAGAGCTTCATGGGCAATTTTCAAGGCAAAAACATGGGCACTGTTAGTCTATAACACAAACATCAAAACAATAAAAGAGATTTCTGAAACAGTCAAGTGTCTGCTCAAGGAACTAGGAGACGAAGACCATAATCCAGGGTGCAGATGGTTCCTAATTCTGATAAAGTTGTAATTTCCATGTTCCTTTCTCCTCTGGTGATCTTAGAGCATTTTTGAGGGGGGACTGCTGTCCCCTTCTCCACATTTACACATCTGGCTACAGTCTAGGGCAGTTTTGCAGAAAGCCCAACCGCCTGTTTCTAAGTAAAAACACATTTCCATGTCCCTTCATGATAATTTAGGGGTGGTGAGCAATATTCCCTATATCTTATCCCTGCCTACATTTCCAGTTACAACACAAGTATCCATAAGGAGACAGCTGTCAGCATAGTTAAACTGCATGCAGCAGTAGACTGGAAAGATACTTGAGGGAAATTCCTTATTCCTGCCCCAAATTTCTCCTTTGTCCAGAATTAATTTATTAATTAATTTCCCAGATTATTTTCCAATTTTATCAATTTAAAATTAATAAAATTGGAAAATAATCTGGGGAGAGACTTCATAAACATTTTGGTTAAAAACCTTTATCTTCACTGGTGTATTCAAACTTCCAGTAATGTTTGGCTTACACATTTGATAAGAACTTAAATGGAAAGACCTTTCACATAATGTGTTTGAGTAACAAAGAGAGAAATGAAGCATTTACAGGGCAAACAATAATACATATTTTTCACTGTACTTACTGTATATTTAACATTTTCTGTCACTGTTTGTAAAACTCACAGTACCAGGGCTGTTTCAACAGTTGAACTTTACTCAATGACTTTGTCAACTTCATTGTCTTTCAGCATTAGTCAAATATTCTCAATTAATTTTAGAGTAATGGGAATTTTGGAAAGCAAAGATTGTGGTGAATATTTGATGAAGTAATGGTATGTCAACAGTCTAAGCATAGCTTGATTATGGAAATGAAATTTAGGCAGGGAATTAAACTATTAAAGCAGAAAATGTCTAATTAAATGGAAACCATGCATTGACTTCAATTATTCTTTACACAAGAATTATTTTTCAAGTTCTATTTAAGCAGTATTATACAGCAACATATAATTAAAAATCTAATACAACCTTCAAATTACAAAAGGCATCCCACTTTTAACAGGAAATAGCAGCCCACTTTTAACAGGAGAAAACAACCTATGTGAATGATTTCTGTTAACTGAAACAAATATTTTCACTTTCAAAATGTACTTGATGTTTTAAGTTCAGCACACAGAACAGATTTCAAGGAAAAAAGTAAAAGCAATAAGAAAACGCATTCACAAGTATATGAAGTATTTACATATCTTCTAGATAGTAGAGGAAATGCCCTCAGCTCCTGAATGTTTCATAAACATTAGCATGCATATTCTGTAAAGTTTATACTCAAAAGCTCATCATCTGCATCATCGAGTCATTTACTGAATGCCACTCTCCCAGTTAACACATTTTAATAATTCAGTCCCAAATCAGGAACAATTGGACAAGATTTGCATTTACAAAAGATCATTAATAGGAGAAAGTCAGTCTGCAGATAGCGCAGGCACTGATGGCACTGCTTGCCAGCCCCTAATACCAGGGACAGGCATGACAGATTGGTCACCTTATTTTCCAGCAGAAGGTCATAGAATCATAGAATTTTAGAATCATAGAAGCCTAGAATGGTTTGGGTCAGAAGGGACCTTAAAAATCATCTCATTCCAACACCCCTGCCAAGGGTGGGGATACCCTTCACCAGAGCAGGTTGCTCAGAGCCCCATCCAGCCTGCCCAGCCAGGGATGGGGCATCCACAGCTTCTCTGGGCAACGTGGGCCGGTGCCTCACCACCCTCTGATGGATATACACGATATACATTGCACCCTCATATATTTAGGATGCTTTATCCTGATGCCCAGCTTTGTCCTCAAATGAGACAAACAATTCAAATATTCTATCGACAGTCCTGGTGTCATTGTAATATCTCAGAGGCCAAATGACAGTGTAGGATGGTGGTGAGGCCGATTAAACAAAGAACAGAGACTGGTTCCCTGTCTCATCCTCATAACTGAGTGTATGATCACTGAAAGAAAAACATAGGGATAGTTTATTTCGTTAGGAATAATCTTTCCAAGGAGAACGAACTTTTGTTCACAATTGATAAGTGATTTCAGGTGTAAAAAATCCATTAAAAATGAAAATTAATTGTTTCTTCATTTTTAGATGAAGAAATGTGTTTTCAATTCAAAACCCTTTTTTAAATTCTGTTTTTGTTTTTATATGTAATTTAATTCCCAAGTAGAAAAATTGATTGCTTGAATATCAAAGCAAAAATTCTGTTAGAATTACATCTTTTTAATCTACTTACAATCTAACAACCACACAGGCCACTTAGACTAGCTAAAGATGGGAGACATAGGTAGTCAGCAATTGCAATTTCCTAGCAGTTTAAATTTTCCCAAGCTATTTCCAAACATGCACACGAGTGATTGAAAAGATCTTAAGAGTGAGACCTCTGACCATGTCATGAAAATGTCCAACCCAAACCTGACATGTCTGAGGGACACCTCAGAAGAATTTGCTTGAAAACTTAATGCTTGCTGCAAAAAACTTTTATATTTTTAAGTTCAATTAATTTCTCATGGATTGTTTGGTAATTTTATGCATCATCCCAAATAGCCTGACAATACTATATTCTTATTAAAACTACCTGGAACTCATCCCACAGCACACACAGAAACAAAAACTGATGGCAAATTCTTCTCAGAGCACCTGTAAAATCAGGAACATGAATAACTAAACATCAGAATAGCACAATTATTTTAAAAATTGTTCTAGATGGTTAGTATAATTACCCATGTCACCGCAAACCAATTTTTCCAGTAGAGTTTGCATCTCCAGATCAGCACTAAAGTGCTGAGTATAACTAACATATTTGGGGCATCAGGGAATTTAAAGACTGAGAAAAGCTGTTGAGGAGAGAAAGTAATGGTGTTTAATACCAAATGAGATCAAAAGAAACCCATCAGTATGAAATGGGCTGTGTAGAATATCTCCCAGTATGGCAATTGCATTAATGAGCATGCAGTTTCATGAAGCCAAGTTGTTACAGATCCTGGACTGTGATACTAATTACATCCTGTGAAATAGAAACAACTCAGAAATGTAGAAAAGCTGCTCTACATCCTGCAGCCAGCTCACACGTAGATGCAGATTCACTAGGAAGACAATGATGTGAATTTCCTTGTTCCCCAGGTTCTGACACAGGGGAGTTAACATGCATGGATCAACAAGAAAAGGGGTCAGTGAAATACCTTTGCTAATATGGGGAAGAGTTCTTCAGCTCTAGAGCAGAAGGCCAGGTCAATCATGCACGATTCAGGACATCTTATGATGGTAAAAGGACCTGAACACAGGAAATTCAGACCTAGGATTCAGCAAGATACAGGTAGGAACTGCAATTCACACTCTGCAAGCTGTAAGAGACTTTCTGACTATTAACACCTCTGTACATGGCCCAGCCAACATCTGCAAAACAAACCAAATCTATCCGAAACCAACTTCTGTGAGTGTAACACACTTCCAGCAGCACATGGGTGGAAGCTCTTACAGCTGCATGGTCCCAGCACAGCCGGACTCAGAGCTCTTTTTAGAGCACTGAAGAAAGATTGTAATCTCCCTTGGACCCTTCTTTAGCGATGCTTTGAAGTCCTAATAGGCCTTTGCTCCTACTCCTTAGAGACTCACATGTGGTTTCTGACACCTATGGGATAGAGTAATTGTTTTAAACTAAAAGAGGGTCAATTTAGATTAGATATGAGGGAGAGGTCTTTTATAATGAGGCCACTACACATTATCCAGAGAATTCTGGATATCCCATCCCTGAAAACATTCAAGGTCAAGTTGGACTGGGTCTTGAGTAGTTGAAGATGCCTCTGCTCCTGTTGGGGAAGTTGAACTATGTGGTCCTTGAAGGTCCCATCCAACCCAAACATGATTCTATGGTTCTACATTGCTGCAGATCTGTTTTCAGCTGTTTGAGCTCAACAAGTACACAACATCACCAGCTGAACTAAAAAATATTCAGGACAAGGAGTCAAGATAGAGGAGATCAGGCAGAAAGAAGACAAGGATTTCTCTAGAATTACCCTGTCACAGTTCATTCTGACCTAAGGCCACAATTTTCTCCCTTTCTTGTCATTATATTAGTTTTGCTGGTTATTTTTGTGGAGCAAATTTCTTCCTTGCCCATTGAAATGATTGGCCAAGTATATGTAGTCTCTCAGTAGACTCCATCTCCTTTCACTTCCCCTTTTTGGAAAGGAACACATCACCTGCCTTCTCTTTGCATTGGAACAAAAATGCTGTAGGAAAATGCAAAGGGAAAAGAAGACTCTTCTCTGGATAAATTACGTCCTTAATATGACATATTAGATGTCATGTATATAATTGATGTCTCTAAAAGCTATCCCTACATTTCAGTATTGTCTTGCTGTTGCCAAGGAGTCTTTTTGTAAATACTTGCTTTTGGAAAAATGTAGTGACAAAACACTTTCCAGGTTTCCATGACTGCTGCAGTGTTTAATTTATTTTGATTAATTCTGTGTTTACATCTGCTTTCAGTCTTTGAGAATCCTTTGAGAATCCACCTAGCCTATGCTGATCTCCAAAAAACTGATTGGGAATTTCATGTTACAGTCTTTGTCTAAATAAAAAAAAAAAAAAAAAGGGGGGGGGGGGGGGAGGGCGGCATTTGATTTTGTAATTCTTCCCCCTGAAAGATTTGTGAAGTACAGGATGTAACTATAGCAGATGTGAAGAATAAGAAACAGAGCTCCCAAGTCATCTATGGTGCACAGTTATTTCACTGGAATAAGAGGAGCTTTTTCTTTCATTGTCTCATCATAGTTTGTTCCAGCTCTTGGCCAGTAGTATTTCCTGTAACCCTCATAACCCATATGAAGCACAGAAGAAAAGACACACAGTTTTAACCTCCATTCAGCAATACACAGAGTGCCCTTATTGCTAACAAAATTAAAACATGGGATTCAATTCCTTTGAACAACTTTCTCAAAGTTATCTTCTCAATTCACATCTTCCCTTTCATATTTGACATTTGACATCCTTTTAGCTGCAGATCTAATTTCAGCTACATGGCTAAAACACTGGGTGTGTCTTTTTAATCATCCTTAGTCATGAACCAGCTGAAAAGATTCCTGCAATGGGTGAACCACGCAAAACTTACACCTGCAAAATTGCATGTTTATTGCAGATTTCCTCTCTGGTCAAGTGTGTGAATACAAATTCATGTTAGTAGATGTTGTCCCTGACAGCCACGTAGTTTGAAAGCTGCTTGAGATTTCCTAAGAGCATTTTCTTCAAGGGAAAATATAAAAAAGTAGAAGCAAAGAGAAGTCTGTTGTCTTCCTCTGCAGTCTGTTTTCAAAGGCAATGATACTCAACTATTCCTGCACTGAAGCATAGCAATGAGGAGACTTCTCCCATCCGGCCTTAGCTGATTCAGACATATCTTTCAGTCTTCTGGCTTTTCACCCCAGTTCATTACATGAGGACAAGTTGTGCATGTTACTAACTTTCCAGCCTGATTTTTGTGTGAATTTGGATAAGGATCTGCCTAGGCTTTAAAAGTGGCTGGAAAAGTCCATTCTCCTGTGAAGAGAAGCAGCCTTTGCCCCTTCTATTCATTTTCACAATGACTTTTGGGGACATATAATCCAGAAGGAATCAATTCACTGATTTTTATAAAATTTAACACATTCCAAAATTTTTGCTGTTTCAAATAAAAGCACATTTGAAAGTCAAAATATGCATAGTTGCAGTGATTCCTGGTTTTCCTCTTTACTACTTCTAGGTTTCTTCCTTTACTGCTGTGTCTCCTCCATTTCCTATGTCCCTCTGTTTAAATATGAAGTTAAATAGTTTCCAGATGCAATTTTACTGCTCCCTTACCCACATAATGAAAACTAAAAGACACTGTAGAATCCCTGTTGAGACACCATCATCAATAAGTTTGGCAAATAACTGCGATAAAGTTGTTTTATTGCTCTGCTGATTTAAAAAGTAAGTCATGGAGAACCGAATGACGTGCAATAATGGTTTAATAGTAACAGATTCACTTTGGGGGTGTCGTGATATGTCTTGAGAACTTTTGTTTAAAATATTCATAAAAACACATAGGATACAGTTTGGCAAGTGAAACCTTTCCTAGGCTATAAAGTCTGTGGATTAATCCAGTTATATTTGTGTGATAAACAAGGCTGCTGAGAAAAATCACACCATGTTTATTCTTAAAGCCAAATATTTATACAAATTTACTTCCATTTTCTTTAACCTTTCAATAAAGTCAGTTTGCACCTTTTTGGTTTGTAATAACAGGATTAAAAAAAAACTTACAGATTTTGCATTTCATGTCGAAGCTAATTTGATGCTTCTGTCAGAGATTCTTTACACCTAGAAGTCAGAGTAAAATGACAGACTCTGGAAGGCTATAAAAAGGAGTTTATCTTTCTAATCCTAAATTTTAAATGCAGTAAAAGTTTAAGATTCAAAGTCACCTATGTGAATCTGTCTAACAAATTGTTAGTCTCTCTCATAGTTTTTTTCCATGAGGACTTTACTCCTCCCTTTAAACAAAATAGAAAAGAATTTGGGTTTTATGATCCAGACACACTATATTTTTACTGAAGCTTACCTTGGACCAGGTACTGCTTTTGGAAACAGAGTATGAACCAAAATGGATGGAAAACATTAATTTCTGTAGGCAAAATTTTTCATGTAAATTCCATATTTCCGCATGTATTCTTAGAATGGTAACAGGTACACCTGATCAGTGTAAATGAGGTCAGAACTCAGGTCAGGGAGTAAACCAGTTCCCTTCAAAACTACACGGTACATCAGGATTTACATAGATGAAGAAGATTATATTGGGCAAGTAATTTTCAAAACCAGGGAGAGTAAGAATGACCTAAACACGAGACTTTAAAAGGAAAAAAAAAAAAAAAAAAAAAAAAAAGAAAAAAATTTAGTAGAAATTAGCAACATAAAACCATTTGGTAACAGCTTCAGCCCTCCTATCCCCATCTGTGTGCACAAGGAAGGGCAGAGGAAGCCAGTTACGTGCCCACAGCTCCTCCTCAGGACAGTTGCTCTCTACACCTGCCCTCCAGACCTCTTGCCTTGCAAAGTTTTGCCCCAGCCAGGACACGGCAGCCCCTTGGCCTCCAGCTTCTCTCATACAACAGCACATAACCTGAAAAGTCCCTTCTCCTGGTTCTTCAATTTCCTTTCTTCCACACTCAGCCCAATCCCAGGTCACTGCAGCTGTTGAGCTATTCCTTATTCTCCAGATGAACACCAGCTCTTGCTGTATGGCACCAGCTGGATTCTCCCTTAACAGGACCACCTGACAGCATCCACTTGTTTTGTGGTGCAAGTTCAATCAGCACTGGCTTGACCCAAGGTGAAACTTGTAACAAAAGCCTGTAGCTGCTGTCAGAGGAGAAGTGTTTCCGTTATGCCAATGATGCTTGTGCTCCTTGCTTTCAGGAAGGATCAAAAAAACCCTCTTCTCTTCAGTCTGAAACCCTTCACTTCAGCAGTTTTTCCTTCCCTTTTGCTATTGCACTCAAAAATGCTCATTTTTTTAAAGAAAGGACTACTTTTCCTTGGAAACATATTCCTAGTCTCCCCAAACCCTCCTGATTTTCTCATTTGCAGTCATTTGAATTAAATTAGCCACCACTAAAGGAATCTTTCAACATCTGGCATTTAAGAAAAATAGCATAGCAGGAGACAGAAAACACTTTTAAATTTCTTTTAGAGTAGAAAACTCTGATCTTTGAAAGAAGTGCTTACCATGTTGAAGATCAGATGAGCTCTTAGCTTCCAGTACAAGTTATATCCTTTTCACTGGGATTATAGAGACCTGTCTTAAAATCTAAATGCTGCCATAGAAACTGTCTACATTCTTTTACTCAGTGGGAAAAGTATTCTTCAAAAATTTCTGTTCCAAACATATTTTTATTCTATCTCAATCCATTGAGGCTGTAAAATGGAATGGGCACAGCTCCTTGAGATGTTCATGAGGAGTTGCAGTACCAGGATGCAATCTGCTTAGGCCACCTCCCATACTGAGATAGGGAGATACATGCATTTGATGACATCATTTTGCATATAGATGTCCATATGAATAAGTCACTAAAAATGATGTAATGAGAGAAGCAAGATCACAAAATTCTCACATGGTTTGTAACAAATTACAAAATTCGTATGTAGGGCCATAACAGGTGGAGATTTCCCAATTAGACCATTAAACATGTTTGTCCTGATAGTCAGGACAAGTCAGACCACAGCAGAACATAGGTAAATTGATCAGAGAAGAATACCTTTTCATTTCTCATCCATCAAGGCCTGTGAAGTTAGAGGAAATAACATAGTGCAATAGATAAAGAAGCTATTAATAGTCCACAAGAGAGAAACTCACATTGCTGAGTGGACAGTTTGACATAAATATTCTTTTCCATCTCTAATTCCTGGGAGCCTGTGGAAAAAGCTATTGACTAGATGGAGATGAAGTATGAGTAATTTCATTATGTCACAATTTTATGCTTAGCATCTGGAGATTATTCTGTCTCCAAAGTAAAAACTCATATATGACTACAATGAACAATGAATCTGATTCTCATCTTCATTAAATTATGTCTTCATTGCTATAATTTCAGTCTATTTTTTCTCCTAATATTCAGTCATACTAAAATCAGCTGATTCAGGATGTGAATAGCTAATTAGATTTGCATGATTTCATGCATCTTAAAGAGGGAGCTGAAATTTGCCTGAATTTCTCTTAAAAAAAATAACGCTAAAAGAGTCAAGATGTACTGCTCTGTAAAGAAAACTTGTTTTCATATTGTAATCAAGTGGAATAGACAGTTTTGCACCTCCTGGGTAACTGTATGATTTAGGTTACTGACTGGTTTCATTAAAGGTCAAGAGACAACTTTCTTTTGTGGCACTGAAATATTAGAGAAGGTAAATTGTGAATCACACAGTCTTTGGTGTGATAGCCTCCATCACCAGACATGTGGAGCAGCTAGAGGTGCTATCTTCTACAGACACTTGTCCAGCTGTCCCACCACCCCATTGTATAAAATCTCTTGACTGCCTCACTGATCAGAGTCTATTAAAAATACTGAGTAACAGCAATTTGAATCAGAATTAAGCATTTGGAGTGACAAGGCAAAGTTGGTTTGGACCTCAAGGCATATTGTGAATGTTGAATATCACTGCCAGGTCAGACAAAGAGATGCTTTAATCTGCTCACTCCAGAGAGGTCAGTGAACAGGTCAGGTCATACACAGATTTTCATTCTGTTTCTGTCTCCCTCTCTGAAGTTTTACAAGTACTTGTTTCCTTTTCCAGCCAACTCACCTCAAAGCTTGTAGGCAAAGCAAGTACAGAGCGGGAGCTCTGTCCTTCAAATAGAAGTTTGCACTAATTTGCCTTGAAAGGTGGTGTAAATTTATTTGAAAACAAATACTTCTTGGAAACATTTCTCATAGAATCATAGATCTGTTAAATTTGGGAAAGACCTGCAAGATCATAGAGTCCGACTTCTATTTTCTGAAACACTGTTTTCCTTGAGGTGGCATAAGGATTTCTAATTAGTTCTCTTCAGCACAGACCTTAAGATACGTATCATTGCTAATTGTGTGGACAAAAGACCTTCCACAATTGTATCAGCATCCTATTTTATCTGCTTTGTTCTCACACAGACAAGAATCTAATTTTAAGAACAGGTTTTCCAATTACAGTATAATTTATGTGATGATACTTCAATATTATTTTGGATTATAGCAATTAAATTACAATCCTAGTCCTTCCAGTGGTCACAGTGGTAATACCACTGACATCAACAGAAGCCAGATGAGATCCAAAGGGAATGGCAAAGCCATTGTTTGCCTGGGCATCACTTCTACCAAAAGAAGTTTTCATACTCATGCCTAATTCATTTCCTGTAAACAAACACTAGGTATATAGGCAAAATGGAAAAGTCCCTGTTCCATTTACTGGTGTGGTTTGAAGGTGAACAGACTGCATTTAAACTGGTGTAAGATCCATTCAGGGCCCATTTCTTCATTACCTGGACTGTTCCCTCTCCACAAGCCTAGCACCCTCTACACAACACAGTTCCTTCTTTTGAGATGCAGTGACAAGGGACATGTTGTGTCAGCTGAGCCATCCTGCTGCCCAGGACCATAGGCTGAGCTGTGGCTGAAAGTCTCAGCCTTCCCCTTCCTGCTTTACAGTGCATCCCCTAGGTCTGCAACCTGACAGTCAAAAATAATAAGTCAATAATAAATAAGTCAATATCAGTCAAAACAGATTTCAGTTTCTAATCACATATATCTTTCCCTCAGCCATCTTCTTCTCCACATTTCCCCTACTACTGATTTTTCCTGTATTGAAACTACACACAGCTGTAACGCTAATGTCACTTCAGACTGACCTCAGCCCATTCCCCAAAAGATCTTGCTTGCTCCTTCCCTATCAAGGTTGACCTTACACAAAAATGGTAGGCCTGAATTAGACTGAAGGTTGATCTTTCTGATGCTCTGACAGGCACATGGCCTCCAACAATTTCTGAGATTTTTTTGAGACACGCTGGGATGGCATTCAGGTTCCTAAATATGAGTGCCTGTTACTACTTCAGATCCCTATGTTTGTTCTTGGCAACCAGCTGCTTCTTCAGGAGGTCACCACTCTTCCACAGGTGCTGTGGCATATCTTTCAACTCCAGGCAGATGTGTCATGCATTTTAAGGTACCTATTTCTCACAATAAATCCCAGAAGTCATGTCTCTATATTCAATACTTTTTGATTAATTTCTGGTCTATGTATTAGTCTACTCTTTTTAATTACAGTTTTAGCTCTAATCTCATAGCAAGGAAGTTCATAAATTTTAAGAAAAATTGCATGCTTTTGTTGGTTATGAATTTGCTATTGCAGTTAACCTGAGCTGAAGCAGAGGTCTCTTGCAGCCGTAGGACAGATGCACACAGGTATAGTTAATGCTTACTTGTCTTAAACCCATACCTAAGCACACTAAAATACCATCACCATCATCAACAAAGCAAATTGTCACATAGCAGTGTATTATAAGGCAAGTTAAAATTTAAACAATAGCCATAACTGCAAAAAAACAATAGTGACTTGAGATATGGATTCAACAATGGGATGCACAAAAAAACATGTGCAAGTTCTAAAATCTGCAAGAGAAGAACTAAGGATGTACAGTGAGCAGGAAGGGTATCTGATAGAACTGGAATTCCTGTTCAGATACCCAATAAGCAAAACCCCTACAAGACCTGATCCCAAAACCAAAATATCAAGATGAGAATATCTCCCTTGTCGTTTTGGGCATGGGGCAGAAAAAACTAAAATTGCAAGAATGAACGAGAAAAAACAGGAAACACATCCCACTTCAGTTCTGGCTTCCCACATAGAGAGCTTTGAGGACCATCAGAAACTGTAGCCATGAATCTGGACTGAAACAGCATCAGTTCTGCATGTATACTCACAGCTATAGCTCAGGATAAGTTTATAAAAGATAATTTTGTTCTAGATGTGGTGATAATGAAATTCTTTTGAATATCATTGATGATTATACAGACCTCCATCAATTCCCACTCTTATCTATGTGTTTAAAGACCTCCTGCCTATTTATCTGTTCAAAATATGAAGAAGAAAATTTTTAACTTTAAACACCTGTAACCTTTTCCTAAGCATTTTTCAGTTCTGCTACAGCCTTTTAAGGTGGAGGAAATAGAATTGCTAAACTTTCAACTCACCATGGCCCAAGCAGAGACATAACAACATCCATAGCTACCCATTCTGCTCTTTCCTTACTAAATCCTAACAGCTGACTCTCCATTTTGGCTGCTTACAGCATTTCTTGTGGCTATGGCAGAACAGGCCTTTCTGTGTGGCATTGTGAGGTGCAGGTTAATTGCTGCTGTTTCTCAGGGTTTGTATATCATATTGCATGGACTCCTCCAATGCATGGATGAAGTTAAGATCATATCTATTTTTATTAGGTTTAACACCTTCAGTTGCAAGTAACTTAAAACAGGATTTTTGCCTAATTAAATCACTAGCTCAGCTCAGCTATTCTCCCTGAACTTGACTATAATGGACGGAGAAAGAAAAGAGATACCCAGAAGGGAACATAACTTTTAGAGAGTGTTCATATAACACTACAGAGAAAAAGGGCTTGGGCTTTTTTAATATCATTCTGGCTGTACATTGGGATACCAATAGTACCATATCCCCTTACAATGAAAAAGTAATTCATGTAAGTGAGACCAAACGGTGTATTTATGATCCTTTTCACTGCTGGTTTTAATACACAGTTCCTTTTGGGGTTTGCTTGGTTTCTTTGAGTCTCAGTCCTCCACAGACTTCCCAGGACTCAGCTATATATAATATAGCTTATTTTATTCTTCCCACTGCTCTGCTGGCTGTAGGAGTTCAGTACTGTTAAGTTCCAAATTATTGTTAATTATGGAAAATGTGTGAGGAAAAAAAAAAAAGAACTGATCACAACAGAGATTGTAGAATACTGTATGCATAATCCATCAATTCCATTAATAGTATATTCTTGCCCTTGATAGCCACCATGATGTCAAAATACTCTGGATTTCCTTCTGCTCCAGTGTCTTTGCAGTGCTACAGATTTAGAGTTTCAGATATCTGGATTTGGGATATTTTTTCCTATCTTTATGCTTCTGCAGGACTAAGAAGTCTTGGTATCTTGTGCTTAATTTTAGATATTCTGAAGGTTTATTTAGCAACAGCAATAAAAAGGTAAAGATATGTCAAGATTGTAATCAAACATTAAGAATACTCATGAGTGTAGAGATTTTATGGATAAACTGATATAAATATGTATAATGATAGGATACTGTGGAAATTGAGTTTAAACATCCTGTTTCTCCTAGACCATAAATTGCTGCTATTCAAGGTGAGTAAAAAAAGAAG